TTTCGGTTTTGTCTAACGTGTGTTTATTAGATTAGTTAGTATCATACATACATAAAATCTGCAGTCTATTTATAATTCATGTATATCGAACATATATATTCTACGAGTAATAATAATAATATTGTTAATTTCATTACGCATGAATGACATACCTTTTGGTTATGTATAACCTGTGCTTATTATATTAGCTTATATCATAGATACATAAGATCCGCAATCTAGTTAGGTTTAAATAAACGGGGGATGATAGACACCATAGATAGTAACCCTAATCGAGATGCCAGAAATCGGTTCGAGACGAGAGCTAACGGGGTCGTTTGGCGAATTTACTTTCCGGCAAATAAATTTATTGATAACGGGCCGAAATGCCAAGCGTTGCGACGATATATGTGTATTATTATGATTGAGCTCAATTGTCCAATTGCCCGGTCATTGAATGCCATATGTACAGCCGGGCTCGCCCGTTATTAGCAAAACCGTCGATGATATTCTCAACCCCGTCGACCGCGTTTCCACGCCGTCGTTCGACCGGCGTCACCTCGATCACACGCTGAAATGAGAACCCCTGCCAATCTTTTGTCTATTAAATGTATTCAACAGGGTAATAGCGACTGATATTACCAATTGGACAATGAAAGAGATGGCGATTTGCCACGGGGGGGATTCGCCAGAGCTCAAGCGAAGATTTCGTCAGGGACCTCGACGATCTTGCGATTGAAACGCTCTCGCGCAACAGGAAAAACAATGAGAAAAACCAAGTGCACCAGCTTTTAGGACGCGAAATTATTCGCGAGAAGGCCTAGCGAGTCAAGTTTATTCACGATCGATATTTTTCGAATTACACACAGTAGACAATTTTTAATTAAAACTGCTGTCAAATCGTACGGAAAATTGTTCGGAAATAATTGGTGAAATATCAGTTTTTTGAGAATTGTACAAGGAGGCTTTTCTTTAGAGAATTGAATCTTCTACGAAAAATGTTCTATACTGTCGGAGTATACGACGAAAATCAATCGACATGCTGGACGCGTGAAAGGATGTTTACATAAACAATTCTCCCAACGAATGAACACGTGCGTTAACGAGTGGTCCATTTGTCGGACTGATCCTAGTCCCTGCGACTGAATTTTTCATCCATTCGGTTCTTTGAAAAATTTCGTTCCTCGTTATTGATTAAATTTACCAAAGTCTATTTGATTAAATACAAGGTGAAACATTTATTTAATTACCAATCACCAATATACATATACAAATTCTTCATAAAATCAATATTTTTGCGGTTTCTTTCTTTTTTTTTTAACGTATCCGAAATTTTAAAAATTAGTTTCTACCAAATAACTCGTGAGATTTTAGTTTTGAATTTAGTTTTGAATTTAGTTTTGAATTTAGTTTTAAATTTAGTTTCGCAATTTACGATTACAACGCGGTACGTTGAATAATTCGTGTAAATAAATTACGAGTCTTTATTTTGTATCGTTTTGTAATTTCGTCTTGTAATTACACGGCACGTAGAATCCGTGATTTATGCCGTTTATGGGTTTGTAAGACTCCTCCGAAAGTCTCAGGTAGTTTATATGGTGGCCAGTCGGGCACAATGGCTGCGTTCCGCTGTTTGTACGCAGACGCACGTGTGCAATTGCCGGAAATTCCGACGGAACGTCGGTAGTCAGCATTGTCAGCGAAATACCGTTTAGAGAAAGCGTTTAATGCGAGAGGCCTCCGGGATCTGTTCGCCAGATGTTTGGCCCCACGTTTTCCGTAGATGGCCGCGTTAAATTCGACTTTGACCGTCTTCCCGGAAAAACCATATTTCCATTGTGCCGCGGGAACCCTAATGGGAGGAACTGTAACGGCCGCTTACGTCAGCGCGTCATTTTCTCGATGGAAACTTCCTCGATCGATTTTAATAGCTATTCTGTATGCTCTATAATTGTATTTATATATTTATATATATATATAAAATGAATACAAAATTCTGCGTAAAATGAGTTTCGTAGAAATCGTTCTGTGATCACGCATCCATCAAGATATCGTTTTATAATTTAGATGGAAACAGGGATTTCGTTTCTACACGCGCTTCGAAATAAACAATTCCGGGAATCGCGAGCATCCAATTTTAATGTCTCGGTAGAAACGCGGCAGCTGCGAGTCATTCCGTGATTTCGAATCGATCAAGATACCAGAAAATTTCGAATTTCGGTACGAGATTATTGATTGTGATTGGAGCCTGTTTAATCTATCGATTAAATAGTATGACATCACGATCGATTTTAGTGACCGACGACGCGTTCGCACGATAGTAATTTGCTCGATAATTAAAATTTTGTCGTCGAAAAATATTTACCGACCGCTTCGGTGGTTACTCGCGTCCCGAGCTGTTTAAAATAACTCGGCTCGGTATCCCTGGAAGGGGCAGCGCCATTTTTGCGTTCGGAGTTCGTGAAACTTTCAAAAATATTCCCCGTAAAGGATCGTCGATTTTTCTGCCAAGCTGGGATCTCGTAAATGGAATTCTCATCGGACCTCCCCCGAAAAGGTTGCTCTTTTATTTTTGTCTGGCTTCTATCCTTCGGCTTCGAGCGCGTTTTAAAAATACTCGATTCGCCCACGAATCGTCTGTCTAGCGATCTGCCACTTCTGGACATCGAGAACCTTAACGCACTAATCGCTATTATTTTTTTCTTTGTTGGACTAACAGTCGTGAGATTTCCTACGAGACTAAAATTTTATTTTTAGATAACTAAAAGTGACGTAATAATTTATTTATGACTTTAAAAAAAATATCAGCTTATAGGGGACGACGAGACGAAACTTTTTTGTATTTACAATTTATTCGCACGACGTTTAGTAACAGAGATAAAAATTGAAAACTTGGAAGACCTTTTCCCTGAAATTCAATTTTTTGCAACGAACCTCGAACTTTTCAATTTTTATTTCCGAAACTAACCGTCCTATGAATAAACTGTAAACATAAAAAAGTTTCGTCTCGTCATCCCCTGTAAGCTGATATTTTTTAAAAATGGATTCAACGAATATATACGCCCCTGGCAGTCAAATTCAATTTCTTCAAATATCTTTCCACCCTTCTGGCTCCTCAATTTTCTAATCACCGCGCAATTAATCGTACCTAACGATCGCACTTGCACCAATCATTTATGCGAAAGGCGCCACACCTAATCGAATCGTACCATCGACCCGCGTGAGAAGACTTGCGCGCGACTGGCGATAAGCCAAGATCGAAATGTGTAGAAACAAAGGGAGCCTGTTATGGGGGCCCTGTCGTTGGCATTTCAAGGCGTAGATTTCTCGAAATTCCAGCGCGTAGCCGCGGCGACACTTGTGCCAAACGAGTTCCCGTTGTCTTTCACCGTGTTCCAACGATCGGGAACTTTGGCGACGGAGAGACGACCCGAAGAGAAAAGCGCCGTTGAAAGAAACGCTCGAGGATAATTGCCAACCCTTACGGTCTCGTTTCCCTTTGTGTCCCATTCAAACGTGGTGGTTTCTTTCTGGGTGTTTCCAGGCTCTAACGAGGGGATTATTTTAATCTCTGATCTTACCCTTTTGGGAACTTAAAGAATTGCGTCGCTGCTAACGGGTCAGGAATGACCCAACATACACTGGAGCGACAATAATTTACGAGTTACGGTTCTTCGATTGTTTCTCGGGGGAATTATTAACTCGATATTTTTATTTCATTATTTCTCTAAGATTATTTCTCCGAGATTTTGAATTCGACACTGGAAAAAGATCGTATTTCTTATTGCGTGTGCCGAGACTGTCTTGGAAAGTAACGAATCAAATAAAAAATACTCGAGCAGACAGAAGCTGTACGATAGGGTTTTTTACGATCGAGTTTCGTCGTTGTTTATTACTCCGAAACTTCGCAAGCTTTTCCTGCCAACCCCTTCTGCCCCGACGATATTATCCTCCCACGTTCCGTCCATTCCGCGCTCGTAACTTTCGTTTTGACGGCATCGTTCGCCTTTTTGCCAACGAAAATATCGCGCACGACTTTCCTTTGCATACGTGTGCTCCGATCTAGCGTTTCCCGAACTGTACTCCTCAAAAACAAAAACGAACGAAAAATCGTTCCGTTAATTCACTCCGCCGTCTTGTGTTTACACTTTTTCTAAGACTTTGCAATGGTACTCTTACATATTACTTTCCTTTTTTTCACGATTTTACAGTATTATTTGCACGTTCCTTGCGATTAGAATCTCGCTTGTGAACAGTGAACATTTATGAGGATTTATGCGTGAGTAGAGAAAAACAAGTGATTTAAAATTAAAATTAAACCGTACCACGAGTTGAAACAGTTTGGGAAACGCTGGCCGAGGTCGAAGCACGTGCTGAACGCGTCCTCTCTCCCTGTCGTTTCCCTTTTGCTTCCCCGAGGTTCGCGAGAATCTCGACCGCGGGAGCAGAAAAATTTAGCACCGTCGAACGGATGAGGAAGACGCGCCGAGAGTAGACGTTTCTGACGCTAAACTCGAAAAAGGATCCTCGACTTCCTTGGTTCTTCTTTTTTTTTTTTAGACAAGACAAACCGCGACACGATGATCGTCGTTCCAACGATTCTAATTTCGAGGACACTTCCAGCTTCTCTCGTTTACTCGGAATCGAGGGCAGTGTTTACTTGGAAGCCAGTCTTGTAAATTTCACGCTTTGTAAATCGAATCAAGTCGTGGACATCTCGTAAGTCCAGGTAGATTATGAACCTCGTATAAATTCAATGAAATTATGAACGTCATGTAGATTCAATTCAATTATGAACCTCATATAAATTCAATTAAATTATAAATCTCGTATAAATTCAATTCAATTATGAACCTCATATAAATCTAAT